TTAGAGATTATTTTTAACGGCAGTCTTTTGACACTCTAAAGAAGCGATATATGCAAAAATTTTTGCTGTGTAAGTCTATAACACTTGAGTTCTTGAAAAGTACTCTAAAGCATATAAATAAGTTACCCCTTCAATCTACATTAGCCAATCAGACGAATTTCTGCCTATGAACCGTCGATCATCGATTTATTTGGTGTGTCAGTGTCGACATTGTTGTACGTACTAGCGATAACAACAATAATGATGATTCCGTTAATAATGACGGAAAGGACATTATAGGTGTTATTAACAGTATCCTTAATATTGTTAGTTCCCAGACGTGTATTACTTCATTATAAATAAAGGGCATTTTCGCCCCACTGCAATAGCAGTTTTGCTCAAGTGTTTATCGTACTACCCCCCGAAGTGTTGTATTCGTGGATACTTGATTGCCTTGAGTGTTGGTTCCAGTGTCCGAGTATCGTTGTATCAGTGGTTGTCATGTGATTCTTATTGTTTAAGGATTGCCGAAACCTTAGAACCTTTCCACTCGCCAAATCTAAACGTCTCTTTCGATAGGTTATCTTGGTTGTGTTAGTTTGTGATTTGTTTGTTGGATTAGTAGATTCCCGGCAGACCATTTTTCCGTGTAACAATACGTATATAGGGTATATAAGGCAATTAAAAAAAATGACCTGGCAACTCGGCTTTTAGTTTTTGCTTTCAAAAAAATTTATATACGTATTTTTTTTTTTATATAAATTTCTAATAAATTTCTGATAATTAATAACAACCACCCGGATAATAATTTTTAAAGTTTTGCAAATTTTGACCTGGCCAGGTTATGAGAATAAAAATTCAGTTTATATAGCCTAAATTGAACATTTGTTTCCTTTTGAAAATGTCAGATCGCAAACTTGTCATATTGACAGGTGCTAATTCTGGGCTCGGGTATCTTAAAAGACATTTAAACATTTTCTAAATGATTTATCACTTATAAATTTGACTTTTAAAATTTACACATTTATATTAGTTTCGAAGTTCTTAAACAACTATTGAGCCAAGAAACGCCGTACCACATAATCTTAGCAGTCCGTAACATTCAGCAAACTGAAACAAAGATCAAATCTATTGTTTCTTCACACCACTCAGTGGAAATTGTTAAGCTTGATTTATCTTCATTAGCATCCGTTAAATCATTTACTCAAAATATCCTATCTCGAAAACCATCTCTTAATATAAACATTTTAATTTTAAATGCTGGTGTTGTAAAAGCTACACTGACTAAAACAGAAGATGGTTTTGAACATACATTTCAGGTTAATCATCTTTCAAATATTATTTTAGTTCATGAATTACTTCCTAGATTAATTGAATCAGGTCCAGATTCAAGAATTATCTTAGTTAATAGTTCATTACATAAACCTGGCACCGGCTCAAAAGAACATGGAGAAAATCGACCAATATTAAATATCGAAAATTTGGATGGGTCAAAGATGTATTTTCCTTTGTTGTTTTATAGGAATTCAAAGTTGGCACAAGTGCTTTTTGGTTATCAATTGGATAAATTTTTGAGTAAGAAAGGTGAAGAGGAGAGAAAGGTTAACGTTTTGATAGTTGAACCGGGGTTCTGTCCTACAACAGAATTAGCAAGGGAAAGTGCAATTTTTACCCAATTCTTTCTTAAATATATTTTATCGTGGGCGCCATTTACTAGGACATCTGAACAGGTTTCTATTTCGATTCTTTTGAAACAAATTTATAAATAATTTAATCAAACATTTATTGTTTTATTTTAATTAAGGGTGGGGCCGTGATCACTTATGCTGCCACTTCATCAGAACTTGAAAATAAAAGTGGACTCTATATTAATCGACTTTGTCAAATAGATAAATCCAGTGGTGAAAGCTATGAAGAAGAAAAGCAAAAATTCTGGTGGAAAGCCAGCTGTGATTTACTTGGGATAGAAGAGGATTGGAGTGGTTTAATTTTTAATCGAAAAGAAATTCTCGACTAAATTTATTTTGATATACATATTGATTTTTTGAGGTAGGGTTTTTCAAGTTATTTTAGAAGTATTTTAATTATTTGCTCCTATCTCATTATTATATTTATCTCATTATTTAGACAACAATTTTAAATAACACGATAGACTATTTTTTCTTACCCTAATTCACGAGATATACTTTCTTAAAGTTTGATCATCGGATAGTCATTCGTACAATAACAGAGATACACAATGAAAATGACTGCTATAATATAGTTATAATGAAGACGAATCCATTATTTAAAATCTTAATAATTACGTGAGGTGCGACTTTTAAATTATGAAAAGATGCATATGAAAATTTTTTTATTAATTGTATGTCTGATATTGATGTTATCCGATATATTATATACTAGTTTGTGATGATTTTAGCGTGATATTTTGCGCAAATAAACAAAAAAAAATTACTTCTCTTTGAAAAATCGGGATTTTATATTAATTAAACAATACCGATATTCAAGATTAGATCAAAATTTAAGCAGCGATTACGTACATACATAGTACCTGATTTTAGCAATACTAGGTGGGTTAGAGATATTGTTTGTTGGTAAATTTCAAGGCTGTACCACCGTACTATAAATGATTTGGACTGCTCGAGTCATAGTAACAAGTTAAAATGTATATATAACTATTAAAACGCTTATTTATGAATTCGGGAATGTACTGTATCTTCTACGAGACAAAAATTGTATTTTAGCAATAGCTATGCTTCGGATTCATTCTTCAGCATAAAATGGACCAATGATAATACTGCAGATTCTGCAAATTCAATTCAGAATTTAGCTACTTCTGTACTTCTGTACTGCATACGTAAACATAATTGGCAAAACAGGATCATTAGTTGAAACTCTTTTAATGAAGTTTTGATTTAACAACTTTAATTGTTATCCTTTTTTAAAAAAATGATATCATTACCAAATGAATGCTTCTTATAAATATTTAATAACCTTAGAACTAATCAGAGAGGTTTGTTTTCATTAGGGATGTTATCCTGCTCCAACCGGTTAGCTCGTGCTTAAAACCCGTTTGAACTCTGTTCGGAGCATATTTACATAAAAACCGGTTCCAGAACACAGTTTACATAAAAGTACTAATAATTATGCTTGCATGAGCAGTTTAATTAAACCTGCTTACATAACGATAAGTTTACATAATGTTATTGCTACGTATTTTTTTTTTTTACATGAATTTTTAAATGTTATTGCATCTATTCGCTTATTATTATTATTATTATTATTTTTATTTATTTTTTATTTATTTATTTTTGATTTATTAGTCTTCGTTACAGTCAATAATGCCCGCTTCATACCAGGTCTTTAAGCAGAGGCTTGCAGAGGCATTTTCTTCGGACAACCTGTTACGAGTTGGGTTGATTGTATTTTTAGCTTTTGAAAACATTTCTTCGCTTGGCACACTTGTTGCTTGCACGATCAAATAGTTTCTTGCCATTCTTGAAAGCCCAGAATAATGCATATTAGTGGATCGTGTTTTCCAGAATTTCAAAGGGTTACAATTTTCTTCAGTGGCTATAAGGTATTCATCAAGAACGTTTGAATTAGTAGGTAAACTTTCATTATGATGTTTTCTAAAGTAATTTCTTGGAAAATCATTAGTATCTTCAGTAACAGATAAGCCTGGTTCTTTATATTGCTCGTAAATACTATATAGTAGCTCACGAACAATTATTGCCGTTTCACTATCGAATAAAGATAGTTTTATATTCGGGTCTAATGCAACTGACACACTACAACAAGTTTGAAGAACACTCCAATAATCGTTAAGTTTTTTATATATTCGTTGTGCAATTTGACTATTTATTTGAATTTTGCTATTCAATGCATTGTATAAAATATTTAATATTATAGGAAATATTATGTGCAAATCTCCCATCATTAGACGAGTCGATGATGACAAAATTAGTGTTGCTCTTGCCATAGGCTCAAGTAATATAACAATAGCCTAAAAAATAACAGATAAGTTAATTAATTTTATTATATGGTATTTGAAAATATACAAAAATACTAACCTCAACTTCATGCCATTTGGTTTCAGTTAAATATCGTTCCCTTAAAGCAGGATTATCTTCAACAAGCTCATCAGTCATTTGGCAAATTAGAAACATTTTTTCAATCATATTGTATGTACTGTTCCATCTTGTCGACACATCCAAATCAGGTACGAGAAAAGGCCTTCCATTTGCTTGAAAGACCTTTTTAAGGTCCTCAAACAATGGTTGAGATTTACGTATGTAACTTACAAAGTTTCATAACTTTGTAATTGAATTAACTACAACTTTCATACCCTCAGAAACTGCAAGGTTCAACACATGAGCGGCACAATGGACGTGTTCAAAGTTCTTGTTACTATGTTCAGAGCGAAGCTTTTCATGAAATAAACGTCCAAACACCTCCATATTGGCTGCGTTGTTGGTTGTTGCAGAAACAATTTGTGAGCCAATGTTATAAACCAAAATTTCTTCCAAGATTTTTTCATTCAGATAGCAACCAGTATGTCATTCGTGAAGTGGTATCATACTTAATAGAATTCATTTCATATTCCAGGTTTCATCGATCTAATGGAGAGTAATAGCAAGAAATCCAAGGTTAGTGCAAGAGGTCCAAGCATCCATCGTTATTGCAAATTTTTGGTGACTTGAGTTAAAAAAATCACAAAGTTCGAGTTGTTTATTATTGTATAGATTTAAAATACTTCGCGAAATATATTGTCTTGATGGAAGAAAATATCACGGGGTTACTTTATTAATGAATTGTTTAAAATCATTATTTTTGACAAGAGAAAAAGGCTGTTGGTCTGTAATAATCCACTTTATAAGATATTGGTTGATTTGTAAAATCTTATCAGCACTGTAAGGTTTAATATTTGCCTTAATGGCTACTATAATTTCGTTCCACCTCTCTAAATGGTGATTGTTAAAATGGGATTTAATAGTCAAGAGACCTGTTTCCAATGAATAAGCTTTATTGCAAAGTTTGCAATGTCGTTTATCACCGACTTTAGTAAGTTCATTCCAGAACGGGTCCTTTTTTAATCGCTTTGGAGGATTGTTTGTTACTTCAACAGGTTCAAGTAGATTTTGAGAAATCGAACTTGAAGAGGTGGATTCAATTGAATCAATAAGCTCATCAAATGTATTTTCTTCATCCATTGAATTGCGAAATTCAAGTAAAAAAAAAATATGGAAAAAAAAGAAAGAAATCAAATATTTATAAAATTGATCTTTGTTCGTTATGATAGTAATTTTTTATTAGTCATAATGATGATAATTTCACTCCGCATTAAATTAATTTAAAAAAAAATCAAAAAAAAATTGATTTTTGTTCATCATAATAATAGTTAGGGCAGTGTCATTTATCACCTGATTTTTTTTTATCAGAGGCATACCCCCCCTCCCTCCTTCTTATTATATATATATATTTTTTTTTTTAATATTAAAGGTGACCACTTAGGCCATTGGCATGAGCTTTATTTCGGATAGTTACGATATTACA